CCGATAATAATATACAGTATCATTTATATTTGCAACTTATGGATAAAAGCACATTCATGGTACCATTGATAATACAAATTATTCTGTTGTAGAAAAATGAAGTAYATGGCAACTACTTGAAAAAATTTAATCTGAATTCCGAATTCTTACTTAGTTAGTGAACACAAATTCCAAGCTTTGATAGAAAATGGTGCCAAAAGAAACAATCTGTTTAGTAAATACAGTATCAGAATAAAAATGTGCTTCTTCTTGACTGGTAGTCAAGTTAGCAAAACATGCTAACCTTCTTGCGACTCCATATCAACCTCTATTTTAATCAGAATTATAATAACTGACACATACAAATCTCGGCGCATAATTGCCGTTGATTATTTACTATAGGCGTCCACAATCCTGCTTGTAACTACATGTAGGTGTCAATTAGATGACCCCTCCCCCCTTTCTCCCTTCAATCCCCTCCCCTCTCAGTCAATAAAATTTTCTTTATCAAAGACAGGAAGAAGTCTTCGCATAAAGCAGTATTCAAAGGAGCCACTTCCATTCTCTTAAAACAGTGATAAAAGATTTGAATAAAATCTATGATCTGTTCAATAGCACACAAGTCAGCCTGAYAAACTCAATGTACAATGATCCCCCCTTTAGATACTGCTACTGTCTATTCATTAAAGCTAGTGAGCTACACATACCATTGCACAAAGGTAAACCCACTGCTTTGTTTCCTCACCACAGTTGAGGCATTTCACCTGAACAAAAATTGGACATGAAATCAAGCATAGTAAAAAATCAGCCATCCTTCCTTCTATCAGTTGTATGTGATATAAATGAAGAAAAGTGACAGAAATTTCMAAGTCATTTGATTTGAAGTTTAGTCTGTTTTTTTTTTTAATATGTAGCTGTAACAATTKCCATCAAATGAATTTATCAATAATGCTTGCTCTGGTACTAAGATTACAACAATAATATGCAAAACAATCAAACACACAAACACTACGAGGAAATTGTTAGCTCATTCAATCGTTATATTATAAGCAAAACAAAGTAGTTTTAATTGACTATTGGATAGAGGAAATAAATAGTACATACCTTCAAATACCATCGGAAATCATCTCCTTCGGGTCTGATGTTCGTGATGTTTTCCAAATTGGCTTTGAATTGAAGTGAAATTCTCTACAAACGAAAAACATAGCTTTCATTGTTTTCGATTTATGAYAACAAAGACGTCAAAATTTCATGGAGCAGTATCAATGAATGAACCGTTATTTAAGCAGCACAATGGCATGTGTTGCAAAGATRTTAATAATATCATACTAGAATAAAATGATTTTTTTTTTAAGCGTGTCAATTTGATGCAACGTACCACCATCTTGGACCAAGAAGAGAACGATCGTGAGCCTGCGGTAAGCTTWAGCAGCAGCGTTTGTAAACAATCTCCAGAGCATGCGCTAATGAATTGAATTAAGGGAGATTTTTTGCCTTTTTATATTAGTCATATGTAAAATGGTGTCTATGTGATGTGCTATGTTATTAGAAATAGCCAAATACATTTTATAATGTAAGATTGACGGGAACTTTGCACAATTTATGCACTTAAACAGAATTCCATCCCTTGGGAATCAATAATAACAGACTGAACTTTAATATACTCTTTTTTGCGTTTTATTCGATTTGAACAAGATAAACGACATAAACGAAGGATCTCGAAAAAAAATTCTTCAATTATGATGGGTTACCTGTGTAACAGTGTCGAATGGCATTGTGGGTAAAATCCAAAATGGCGCACCACTCGTTTCTTGCAAGAACTGTAATGGTGGGTGAAAAAGCCGGTGTTACTGCTGCTTTTAGAGTCCTAAGAGACGTCATGTCATCRGAAAAACAACTAAAAGATATTCARCTCAAGAAAAGATACGAAAAACCTACGATAAAACGAAGAAGAAAAAAATACGAGAACTCTTTAAAATTGTACAACTCTGAAATGGAACGAAAAGTTGATTTTATTATGAAAGGCCAACGAAAAGAAACTCCTTGGACTTAAGTTCGTGTACATTTACTATATATCACCATCTTTTGGATACGTATGCTGATTCTATTTGGGCTTGTRGWCGTAAGCTTTTGTGGTTCATTGTGTTTGCAAGATAACTCGAAAGTTTAATTTTTTGGATAAAGAAATTGTGGTAATATTTGTCCTGGCTAACATTGCAGTGGTTGTATTTCCTTTATTTACTTATAGAAGTGCAAAATGTTCAGAAAAATGTTGAATATAATTCCTCTATTGGATGAAAATGTGCCAAATACTTACAAAATACAAATGTACACTAGCAAGAAGCTACTGAGATGAAGACTATACTTTTATTGATCACGATGTACTACTCAGTGACTGAATGCCGAACTTGTGATTATTAAGAACTGTACAGTAGTATTTTTGTGATATTTACAGATGTTGTTTGTAAGCTACTGTGACAYATAAAAGCTGTGTGAAAATAAATGAAAATCATCACTTTGGGATCCCTGTGTTGAGATCGTTGAAACTAATGTYAGTTGAGATTTTGTAAACCTATAGAACTCTGAAGGTTTTACGTGTTGCATTGTATATACAATGCATTGTAGGATATGTTTGGGACAACATGGAAGATTTCTTGTGTTTTCTCTAGAAACTGRTCCCAAAATGAAACCAATTTTTCTATTTTGTCAATTTTAATTAAAATCTACTATTCTAGTAAAGAATATGAAACTTAGATAACGCTTATCAAACTTTACAGCTTGAATCATTTATAGTGATAGAAAGATTGCAACAAAAATAGGAAAAGAATAATAATGTCCATCTTGGATTTGTTTTCTTCTGCTATCACTTTGCTTTTCTGTGTGATGAAACAAAAAATTATTGGTTTATTTCACATGTGCTAAAATTTGAGGAATATATTCCTGCGCCRGCATTTAATAATAATAATAAAAAGGGCCTTCCATGGTAGTAAAATACTCAATTCACACTCGTTTGGAATAGACAACGAGAGAGACTTTGCTAGCAGGGAAACAAGGGCATGCTCATGCAGGAGTGTGATTCCAGAAGTTCCGGGACCCTCCCTTCATTTGCAGAGCATTATTTGCCAAATCAATAAAGTATAGCACATTTTCCCGATAGTTCAACAGTATGTTCGGTGTGAATGATATACAATTCTCGTACAATTTTGCAGAATCAATCGGCTTCTTCAAAGTCTCGACAGTTTTTCGACTATTTTCAATGCTATATGATATCATGAATAGATCATAGTTCAGCAGCCAATCAGAATGCTTGATATGTGATAGCCAATAGTATAGTGATGGCTACATTTCGATATTTCACGGTTCTATGTATTGATATTATGCTTTAAAATATTCTAGCAAAATATGCGTTATTTAATGTTGAAATTTGATAAGCAATATACGATATTTGCTGCAGGCGACAGCTAGCGACTCATGTTTTAATTGCATCATATCAATTACACAAATTACAGGATATTATCCGATAAAAGGCTATAATCGTGTCAATATCAAAATCACTTTATCCGAATATAGAACTAATTGCAAAATTCCTGTCATAAAAAATAGAACATTATAGGGAAATCATTGAAACTGACACTGACATAAACGTCCTCATATGGAAAGCGTCCATTACTCTAGTTATATATTTTTTTATAATTTCTTAATTCCCGTTTACACTTGCGATTTTGTAGCGCGATTATCGCCTGATTTTCGAACATGATTGAAAATTGGCTGCAATTTCGCGACGATTTTTTCCATCGCAGCAACAATCGAAGGGCTGTTTACACTTACGATTTTGATTGCACGATGGCAAAGTCAGTGTCGATAATTATCGCGCGACAATTGCACTGCAGAACTCGCAAGTGTAAACGGGCCTTTACTAAATTACAAAAAAGTAATATGTTTCCAAAGACAACGCTTCGCGGTTAGTTTTGTATATTTTAAAAGACATAAATATGCTATACCGAAACGATGACAGTTTAATAATAAAACCATATATGTCACCATTCCAGGGCCTTTTTTTTTTGAAGGGGGAGTTTATACAATACAATAATAATAATAATAATAATAATAATAATAATAATATATATAATACAATGATAAGACTAGATGTATTAAAGTTTTATATAGTATTGTTTTATTATTATTCTTATTACAATTTAAATTAAAGCTATTAATGTTTTTTTTTTTGATGAAAATTATTTTAGATTAAATCTATAGATAAACTAAGCTTATTGATTTTGCAACAAAAATTATCAAAAAATTATTAGAGATTTAAGCTATTTTGTGAGATTTCAGGTACACTTCAAGGAGAAAGGGAACGGTTACTTAAAAAAAGACAAAAGACATTAATAAAGGTAGCTTGTAGCCCCTCCTCTAGTGAGCACACCTCCCCTCCCCCCCCCCCCCCCCTGGTAAGGTATTACATGGATGTTTTCAACATTTTAGGAATCATGGAGGAAGCCTTCAATGTGAATTAGCGCCGAACMAATTGGAGAATTCCTTACAGTGTGTTATTGCAGATATTGCTACAAATGTTTACATGAAAACTGATGCTATCAGAGGAAACTGGATCTTCTCATATTCAAAAGAAAATGTTTTATATCAAGTGCTTAGAGTGCATTGACTAGCGTGGGAGATCGCTAGACTGTCTTATCATTTATRGGTGTTGYTTGTTGACACAAGGAACACAAATCTTTACTTTATTACTTTACAACCAACCGCCAAGTTGTCTTTTTTTACAAAATGATTCGCACAGATTGACAAGCACTTCCCGCGATTGGCGAGAAAAATGTCCGGCATATTAATGTCACCATTTTTTATTTATGTATTTATGTATTTACTGTATGTATTTTCTTTTTGTAATAAGAATGTTACAATTAAGTGCTTGAAAAGGGAAACTTTCCTCGTCTTTAATTGTCGTTTCGCCCGCAAAGTAAGGAGAAAGATGTTTTTAATTGTTTTCCAAGGTGGAGCTAAATTAATTCTTGAAATTCCCTCATTTAATACACAAGAATAGCACTAGTGTTATATCAAACCTGCATTGATGTGAAGAATGTCAACTAAAATTATCAGTATCCAAGTGCATTAATAACTATAAAAAATTAGATTTTGCAATCTGACCCATCTAAGCTCAGAAACACAAAAATGACAACAAAACTGAGTGATGTAAAGAATCAAGCAAGCTTAGTTCTCCGTCAAAGTGCTAAAAAATATATTTTACCAGAACGATTATCAACAGACCAGGATCACGGGACAGAATTATTCTTACATTTTACACTTTCTCTTATGATTTGATATATTATTTCTCCTTGTATTTCAGTTCCATAAAAAAGGAGTTTTATAATTTATTATATATATACAGCGCTACTCAATGAATTGAGTGGTTGAATTGAGTGGAAAGAGAAAAGAAGAAAGAGGATAGAAGAAAAAGCCGTAAAAAAAGGAGAGAATCACTTGACGATAAACAAACAGACGATAAAATGAATTGAAAGCAAATGAAATAAAGAAAAGGACAGTTCAAATTGAAAGAAAAGAGAACAAAACGGATGCATTAGACAATAACAACTCAATGAGGAAAAAAAAAACAAAGCGAGTAATGAAGAATCCAGAATGATCAAAACACGCAATGATCAATGTCATACGGGATGACACCAATGTCGGCAACAGTTCCACAGATAGACTTGTCACCGATAGAATCGCCCGATCTTCCTTTGTGTCACTGTATCCCGGTGTATAGTTATAGAGCGGCGAACTTTAGGCCAAAGCTAGAAAGATAGAGAGAAGTAAAAAAAACCCTTGAAATCGATATTAGACTAATACACCTTTACAAGTCTCGAATTCCATTGTTTTCCTGTGARCCTCCACTTGACTATTCCCTATAAATTACGCTTTGACTGCTCTTGTCGGATTCTCGGATGTCTTTATTCTGAGAAAATTTTATTTTATTTTTCTTACATGTTTGCTTCATCTTTTGAGGTTATATTTTGCCTGATTTATTGTAGTTTCCACTATGTTCGCTTGAAAGAGAAGGATCCTTCTCGCTATTAAAAACTTAGAAAGGTAAAACCAGACTAAACGAAACAACAAAAGCAACGATTAAAGCACAGTCCGATTCTAAACTCCCTATGGGTAACATCAATAATTAATTCATTTGTAAATGGCATTGCTGTAGCTTCCAAATCTAAAAATAATAGACGGTTTTAAGACGCACAAAATCGGTACTTTTTTACCAAATGGTGTTTGCAGAGGAGACAGCGGTTATTCATGAATTAAACAATGGCTGTATGACGTCATTGGCCTGACAGTTTTGATATGGAAGTTCCTTAATCCAGTCCACTCGAGATCAAAACCCATTTGWCACAATGGATTCAAAGATTTCTTTGCTCGATGAAGATTTGTACGATCTCAGCAACGAGCGCGTAACGATCAACATTGGAGGATTTCGACACAATACTTTTCTTGCTACTTTACGAGCAATACCCGATACGCGSCTATCTTGGATGGCTGAAAATCATCCCAATTGTCCGGAATATGATCAGGTGCTTGGGGAATACTTCTTTGATCGCCATCCCAGGATTTTCACCGAAGTCTTGAATTACTATCGGACAGGAAAGCTCCATTGTCCCGCAGATGTCTGCTCTAAATTATTTCAAGACGAGTTGTCTTACTGGGGTATCAGCGATAGAGACATGGAGCCATGTTGCTGGGTGCACTACAAGCGGCAAATCACAACCGAGGAGACATTGAAGTCTTTTCATCTCGAAAACGCGAGGAAAATTGACAATCGTGAGAAGCGCAGTAATCGWACTCTGGCAGGATTGTTTGGKTCCGATGCRCAGCTTCGRCAAGGTCTCAAASAGAGATGGCWGCAACTTCAGCCTAAAATATGGTCTTTTCTGGATGACCCACACTCATCGAAAGCRTCTTGGGTGAGTTGAATGATAATAAATTTATTCACGTTACTATTTTATGATAGCGAAAAGYGATTTATAATTAYATCGCGCAAATGTTTTCMTATTGCATCCAAACAACGCGCGAACCATGCAAGCAGCACGAAATTTCAACAAATTTCGTCATGCAAATCAAGTAGAAGACGTTCAGAACACCAACTAATTCAAGTTAAGAATGTCACATATGCAACAAATATCATGTCGTCTAAGTCTAAAACTCGCTTTACATAATGATTTTAGTAAAGTTATAACCAAAATTTGCGAGTACTACAAATGCAGCTTTGGTTAGAATTTTCTAGGATGAGATGAGATGTGTGTAAAACAGGTGAAACTTGGCCCGTGTAAAACTCTTAGTATTGATAGTGATGAACCGCTTAAAACCATAAACGCAAATAATAATGAATAATAYAATTGTTTTATACGGAATAATCCCTGGGTTATGTTCAGCATTAAGAGCAATATTACAACTGAAGTATAAATAAAAAAAAAATGAATAAGAACAATGTGAGTGTTATTATTTGATTCAGTAAAGCACATTCTAAGTAAACATTTTACAGCATTATTAAACAAACAAGGGAGCGAGACATCAAACAAGTTATGGCAAATAAACGTAGAGAGTAAAGAAAACCGCTTTTATAACAATAAACACTTTGCAACGTCTTTATTGTTTGGGGTTGTGTTTGGAAATTCTGTTCGACAATGATAAACAAAACTAAGAAGATAACATACAAAGGAAAAATTGAAAATTAAGAATTTATAGAATTTTGACTTGATAACGTGTGTGTTAGATTCCTTTAGAATAAAACAGCAAATAATAAAAACAGAATTAAAAATTCAAGAAAGAGAACTGATTTCACAATACAAAATGATTTGTTTTGTTAATCGTATAACAGATTAAAATGAATACGAAATCGTTATTTTCAATTAAATCAGAGAGAAAAAAGCGAATAAAAACGAGAATACAACGTGAAAATTCRCAYTTGTGATATTTGTTTTTATTTATGAGGGATTAAAGGACATATGAACAGATGTCTTGGATTGAAATAAGCCAAAAATATGATATACAAGAAAATGGAAAAAAAAAAATTGCAAATAAGCACTAATTGCGTACATTTTTCCCCGCACGCTGACATGAAATGCGAGTCAAAACTTAGCCTCTTTCTTAAAACCATCAAACCGACATAACAATCTTAGATTTAAGAAGTCTTTGATTATAGCTTTTTTTCTTTGTAAAATTTAATTGTATCATAAATAAGAGGGAAAACACAGACCGAAATGATTRATAGTGACAAGCTAACACAGAGTAGATGAATTTCTGAAACATTTGCTGTCACATAACCTTCAAGTATAAATTCTATCTACAGCTTAATCTTTCATTTCGACATCAAAACACCTTTCGTGCAGACCAAATCATCCTTTACGTGCTGTGAAAACAAGAATGAAAAGTAAAAACAAAATATGTTTATGTAAATTGAAGGCAAACAGGCCTCGAGACGGCTGTTGGCTCTCTCAGAGYTGTGAAAAGAGCTGTTTACAAGCCCATGGAGACGGAACATTTGGATTATATTCTGTTATCTTCTTCCGGATTATGACGACGATAAAGAGTTATAGCGGAACTTGAATAACAAGAAAGTGATCTATCTAGAATTTGACATTGAAAGTTCATTACTGAGAAAGCCGAACGAATTTTAAGTATATATGTTCAATACGGTACTTGTATATTGGGCTGAATTATGCAATATATGACCAATAGTTTGAACTCCACTTCGTGATTAGTAATGTTGATTTGATGTTCAACGCGGTCATCATTTCAAAGGAGCATAGTATCAACTATCGTATGTCAAGAATTTATTTATTTTTAGTAGTTGTTTGTCTTTTTTCTTGAGCG